AATCTAACCCATTTCCTTGATTTACTTACAATTTTTGTAATCTTAGATGCTTATTTCAGGTAGGGTTTTAGGAGAGGTTTTTTCCCTGCCTGGTCCCTCTCTGTTTCCCAAGAGAGCACAAACAAAACCTCCCCCCACAGATTTGAAAGGATCTTCTTCCCTTATTGGTCCTTTTGGACAGGTGCAAACCAGGTTATTTGAGCTTCTTAACCCCTTACAGGTAAAGGAGGGATTTTATGCTACCCTTAGCTGTATGTTTATGACAGTCCCTCTCTCGGAAATCTGCAGAGTAGCCACCTGGGCATCTGTACATACCTTCACGGAACGCTATACGATTCCTGGAGACTCTGCTTCCAATGATAGTTTGGCTCTACCGTATTATCATCTATAACAGACTGGACTCCAAAGCCCCCTCCCATTAGGGATACTGCTCGGGAGTCATTTACAGTGGAGAACCTGTAGGGACACTACTCGAAGAAGAAGAGGAAGTTACTCACCTTGTGCAGTAATGATGGTTCTTCAAGATGTGTGTCCGATGGGTGCTCCACAACCCACCCTCCTCCCCTCTACTTCGGAGTTCTTGGTAAGGACTCTGCGGTAGAGCAGGAACTGAAGGGGATTCGCCCATGCAGCACTAATTGGCCTTGTGATAGAGCATGAGGAGGGGAGAGCACATGGGTGGGCTGAACAGATACTGCTACCAAACATCTCTGATCAGAAGCGCAGGGACACACATACACCTACAGTGGAGCACTATAGGGGGGGACACATCTAGAAGCACAATCGTTACGCACAAGCTGAATAATTTCCTTTTCTGTCAACAAGGGCCTTAAGTAACCACGCAGGGATATGGATTTTTCACACCCCTGAGTGATGCAGTTATGCTGACCTAATTTTCTCATGTGGACCAGGCCAAAGAGAAACAACGCCTATCCATTAGCCTGCGAGGCAGCCTGCAGGTGGCAGTGCCTTTTTGGAAGCAATCTGCAGCCCGTCTCTAATTCGAGCACCCTTTTTGTGTCTGAAGATTCAATGTCTGTGGGCTTGGTGGTACTCACATAATGACTACTGGGTGCAATTTAGGTCATATAGATGTCAATAGAAGTCTTTCCATTACAATTGGCATCAGCTCAGGTCCTAAATTCAAATACCCTCACTGTATCTGCGTGGCAGTTCCTTAGATATCAAAATGGTCGATGTTACAATTGGAAATAATGTTGAGGTCGGTTTTAAAAATCTGGTGTTGGTCACTACTGACGCGGGACAAATTAGAAGGGGCAACTTAATATTTTTTGCAAACTCTCTCTTTTCCTTGTATTTTATGTTTTTCATTCCTCCAACTCTTCCCTGTTTCTTCCCTCTGTGGTTCGTTCAAATGCAGGAGTTTTCTTTTGGGCTCCTGGCTTTCTCTTTAAGCCTTGGTTGCTCATTATCACCTGTATCAGACTACAGCACCGTCCGTAAAAGTATCACTATTTCAGAACATCACAGCACTGGAAACTAGTTTTTGTTGTAAGATCTCCAAATTGCTCTGCTGCCTTTAACAGAATATGTACATCATATAGCTAAAGGAGCAGGGGAATTAGCACACTGCTTGTCACTTACAGCAGTCAGCCTTTTGTGTGAGGAATAAACTAAGTCCAGTGAAAGGCAGAGGAATAAAGTTGTTGATGTCTGCTATTGAAGAAGAATGGAGAAAAGGGAAAGTCTTCAGGGGGCACAAATACTATTAGCAAGTATTGGCTTGCCGGGGTAAACACCATCATTCAATGCCCAGTAGGCTCAACAAAAGAAAAGTTCATAAAGACAAAAGAATCTTACTTCCAAAGGGGAATTTAAATGGCTTAGGGCCAGATCCTCAACTGGTGTAAAGTGATGTAGTTCCAATGAAACCAAATTAATGATGCCAGCTTTCACCAGCTGAGGATCTGACCCTGAAACTTTAATTTTAGGCTGCTCTTTCCTTCACATTTATGAAAAATATTGTACTATGGCTTCATGCTGGAGACTTGGTTTGAGTTCCCTTCTCTCAGCCATTCATTTTCTATTATTATTTTCTTTAAACTGCATTCTCTCCTATATTGGACATTATTATTTAGGCTACTTTTCCTCTGGACAACAACTGCATGACAAAACATAGAGCTGGGGCTGACTGAAATGCTCTTGCTCCCCCTTGTGGTGAGGCTTTGGAAGAGTGGCTTTGCACATGTTTGCACCTGCATCTTTATATTTCAGTTTTTGAAGTGTTTGCCAGCTTGCTGTAACCTTGGTTTCATTGCCTGTTTCCTTGGTGTAAACTGTGTAAGCCACTCATGTAAGAAGGATACACAAAAACAAAGTTGCTGCTCATTGAGAGGTACATTTCTTCTCATCCTTCCCCATCCAATTTTCTCTGTGCAGCTATAACATTTGGTTTCAATACATTTATGTTTAACTTGGAAGCTTTAGATTAAAGAAGAAAGGAAGAGTGACCTTTCTGTACAGGTGGTCAGAGAAGGACATTTATAGATGTTCTGGACTCTGGATGTGCAAAGTTATCTGTTCTGTCGCAAAGGTAGCTGCAGATTATACAGTTGTGTTACAGACCAGATCCTGCAATCCTTGGTGGTACTTATTCAAGTAAAATTCTCTTTGACATGAATGAGAGTTTTACCAGAGTAAGAGCTGGGTAAGCCTTTCAGGATTTGGCCCATCTGAACAGCCATGCAATCATCTGCAAAGAAGTGAATTAGTGTAGCACAGTTGTCAACTGTCGTGATCACAAGCATTGCCATAGCTGATATTTTTCTTAAAGTCCCAGCTCCTGGGGTCATGTGATTATGGGAGATCTCACTTTCATTAACAAAAAAAAGGCAAATTTCTAACCTCATAGTTGCAGATAAAAGTTTGAAAATGTGACCACGTGCACCCAAAAGGCTCAGAAAGCAAAGAAAAAGAGCTCCAACCTTATTTTTTTAAAATCTCCTGGGGGCGGGGAGGTTTGTTTTTTTGAAGCCTGGCTCATGATTTTTGAATGATTGGGGTTGGCAGTGCTGGTAACATGAAGATGTGATTCAATGTAAGCATCCTGAAGTAGTGCAGCTACTGTATTAGACTAGAAAGCAGAAATACCTATTATAGAATAGATTGTGCCTAAATTGGGGTGGCACTGAAGGCAAGTGCCAAATGCTGGCAAAGTCAGCTGGTGGTGCAGCGGGGATGGAAAACAGGCAGTGCACCCTGATGCTGCAGAAGTGGGCAAGCTGTTCTCTTTCAAGCTCTGACTGCTTAGCACTGTATGTTGCTTATTGGCCCCACGAATCATTTAGAATCAGTTAGTCATTGAGACTTCACACAGTGCCTGTCTAGTCCCTAGAGATGTGTTCATTCTCTGTGCCCCCGGGTCCTTGTCTTTCTGCTGTGACTGACAACAAAATTGCCAATTGTATGATGGTTTTCATGATGTGGGCACATTACCACAAGGATTGTATCAAGACCACCAGTTCCTTCCGCCTACGCTACTGAACAGCTGTCCGATGGCAAGGAATTACGTGAGCTGGGGTGGCTTTAAACCACTGGTTTAGAGGCAAAAGTCTCTATCCCCTGAGCCACCCAGTGAAGACAGAAGTATCCTTGTTATGTGAAAGAGTACAGAGATCAGAGGTGGAGCCTGTCTGTCTTACAAACTGGGATAACTGACAGGCAGACTTCGAACCTTATTTAAATTCTTGTACCCTGTCCTTGCCAGTTGACTTGGAGTGAAGTGGAAGGTAGGGTCACACATTAATAGTCAATTGCAGCAGGTCTGGGGGATTTCAAAAGGTCACTTTGTATCTTAATACCCTCCAGAAATAACTGACCTCTTCCAGTCTAATAGACTTCTTACCACAGAACGTACAGCACCCTCCCAACTGCTGCAAACCATTAGTTTGTTGGGAAGATCTACCTTTCTGAACATATAGTCACAGATAAACATTCATTCATTCAAATTCCTGTCGGGGTAACAGCTCCAAGGAAGAGTCTCCTCAGCCTATATCAAAGGATTAGACCTGTGGTTCACAAAATGTCATCTATTGACCACTCATGGTCTGTAGAGCACTTGCTAGTGGCCCATGAACAGCTGGCTCATCACATGGTGCTGTCTCCTGTTCCATGTTCTCAGCTTCTAAATCATCTTAAAAGACAGTAAAAATACATTCAGCATGTTCCTAAATATTACTTTGCTCTGTAAGCGATTGCCACAAGAATGTTATATGATCGTGATTGGGAGGGTGGCCCACAAGACAGTTGCCATTTTCATGTGCGCTTCGCACTGTGAAAAAAGTAAAAGAACCTTGGGATCAGACAGCAAATTGGAAGTTGACGGAGTTATTGAAATTTGAACCATAGGCGTGGAAATCTGAAAAATTCTCTAGCCAGGAGTAGCTCCACTAAATCAACTGCTTATCCTGATGTGTATCTTCCCTGTTTATCTGCACAGCATTGTAAAATGCAGAACATTCTTCAGTGATGTTACATAGAGAACAGTCAATGAAGGTGAGACAGTCCTACGCAGGTGGTGGTACCTCCATCCTGGTGCTGCAGAGGGGGGTGTTCTGTTCCTTGTATGCTGCCCCTGTGTTAGATCATGACATGAGAAGAAGCTATAGAAAAAGGTGTCGTTTCCCTCTGCTAAATTAGACTGAAAATCTCATAAGAACCAGCTTTCTCTTAGGATTTCCAGTGGTGCTGCCTGCTTATAGTCAGAACACAAATCCTGCTAGAAAAGCCTCCCTCAGAAAAGCGTGGCCCTTCTGTTTCCAGGCCAGAGTGGATCCAGGAAATCCAAAGGCATTTATTTTATCTTTAATATATATTTTAATGTATTGAAAGAGTTGACCAAACTCTTTTGAACCTCAAAAACCCTTGGCCGGGAAGTTTGGTTAAAGGCTTGTTTTGATTATTATTTTATTCCAACTGTTTTGTCTGTCCCTAGTAGTAAAACCTCCATCCAGCTCCTATTCTTTTTAATGCCTTTCCAGGTGTACCTGAAGCAGAAGTTACTTGGTTGAGGAATAGGATCAAGCTGGCCCCTGCCTATCATCTGCATGATGGCTCATTGCTGATTGCAAATGTAACTCTGTCTGATCAGGGGTTATACTCCTGCAAGGCAGCCAATCTTCGTGGAGAGGTGACTGAAAGCACACAGCTGCTGATTCTTGGTAAGCTGCAGAAATGCACGTTGTCTATGGAAGGGCTATTTGTTCATGACATTTCCCACGTGTCACTGTAGTAACGAAACCTAGGCACCAAACAGATTTTTGTCTTCGAAGCTAGTCAGAGGACATAACAGAAGAGAGAGTAATATAAACCGCTTTGTGTTCCAGTGAAAAAAATTGCTAATTGTGTTAGCAGCCTACATAAGCAGGAACAAGACTGTCTTCATTTGTGGAGAAGGCAGAAGATATTAGAATAGGGAGGGGGGAAGGGTACGTGGGTTAGAAGAGAAAAAAAGAATAAGCTAAAAAAAAATCTTTACTATGTAATTTTCACACATTCAGATTTTATGGCTAAGGAAAGAACCAGTCCCCTCCCCGACCATTCCCCAAAATGGCACCCGTGAAATGAAGGCAATATCCTGTGTAATGCTCCATCTCCGAGAAGCAGCCCCCCCCCGGTAAAACACTGAGTGACACTGAGCAATTTCACACCTCACTAACAGATGCATAAACCCTGTGCACTTTTACAAAACAGTAACTCAGTTCATTGAAGGGTGAAGTTTACTTTGTCTTGGGTTTCACGGTGGCAGGCTGAATGTCTAGCTGGGTGATTTAGAAAGATATTGTCAGGCCCAAAGCATGGATGGAAGTTTTACCCACGGCTGATTTATTGTGCTTGCTGATGTATTTTCCTCCCTAATAACACATCTGTGTCATTTCCTGCTGTCTGAGAGATGAAAGATCCGGCAGGACTATGTAAACGCTACTGTACGTTGGGTAATGAAGTGTGCACGTTTTGTAACCATGTACATATTATTGCAGCAACACCATTAAAAAGCGCCCATTACAGAACTCTGTTTTCAGGGCTTATTATATTGCCTGTTTAAATCTCAACTATTCAACCTTGCAGGGTGAACCTAGGCCCTACAGAATCTGCTGCCTCAAAGCCTCCAGTTCTTGGGGAAGATTTGAAAGTGAAAGTTCTCAGTCTTAAGGACAGCGCTAAAGCCTCTGTTTGATGTTCACATGGGTCCCATGTGACTTCAGATCAACCCTAGAAACTTGATCTAAAAATTATCTGCCTAGATTTTAAAAAATGACAACCTGAGTTTCATCTTACAGGTCATAATTCTCACATGGCTTCCTTTTCCTGCTCACGAAAAATGGCTTCTTTTTTAAAGATACAATGTTACTGTTGTTTTGCCAGGTAGCTTATACCCATTTGTAGGCAAATCACTTTCACAATCATTTTAATAAAAAGAAATAGTGTGAAACACCTGAGCCATATATATGTCATAATGAGTACACATAACAGTAGCAACCCTGGCTCAACTTGCAGCCCCATTTAACTGAATGGGAAGGGGCCACCATTCACTTACATCAAGTTTAATGTTTGTAGTGTTGTTGTAGCTATGCTGGTCCCAGGATATTAGAGAGAGAGAAGCTGAGTGAGGTAGTATCTTTCATTGAACTATGTCTTGACCTGTTTCAGAGTAGCAGCCGTGTTCGTCTGTATCCGCAAAAAGAACAGGAGGACTTGTGGCACCTTAGAGACTAACCCATTTATTTGAGCATGAGCTTTCGTGGGCTACAGCTCACTTCATCGGATGCATAGAATGGAACATATAGTAAGAAGATATATATATACATACATACAGAGAACATGAAAAGGTGGAGTAGGAGGCTAATTAATTCAGATGAGCTATTATCAGCAGGAGACCTGTGTGAGCTCAAAAGTTTGTCTCTCTCGCCAACAGAAGTTGGTCCAGTAAAAGATATCACCTCATCCACTTTCTCTCTCCTCTATCACATTTACTGTCACTTAAATGACAGTGGTGGGGAAAACAGGAAACAAAATACAAAAATTGGATCACTGTCATCTTATAATTAATAATGGGCCAAATCCTACAGTCCTTAGGGACTGATCCTGTGAAAAGTGATCCTCACGCAGACAGTTACTCTTGCACAGAGTCCCATTGACTTCAGTATTACTTGAGAGTAGCTGTATTCACAGTAATAACTCTCTGCAACTTGGGCTCTTAGGCATTTGGAGTTTTGCCTGAGTAGCCTTCCAGATTTGGCTCAGTGCTAAAACAATCCTGAATTATGACCTTATCCAAAGTCCTTTGAAGTCAATAAAGAGGCTCCCATTGGCTTCAGTGGGCATTGGATCAGACCATTAATATTGTCACTGTGATTTGAGACTTCTCTATGTGGCAAGTTTCTGGGTGGCAAGCCAACGGGTGAATCTACATTGCACCAGCTTGCTATTCAGTAAAGTCTCATGTGGACACAGCTACAGAGCAGTGAAAGTCCTGGAGTGTGGCCTGGCATACTTCAAGCAGTAGTGTGCTATGACTAGATACTGTATTGGCTGTGCTGTGTGAATTTCCCATCTGTTCTGAGCGACTCTATCTGTTAGTGAACTAAATGTGCTGCAGTGCCTAGCTAGTCACAGTAAGGATGCTGTAATAGCCTTAATGCAAATTTTCTTAGCATTTGAGGGCTTGTGCCTGACCCTGAATTATTATTTTAACCTCTTCCCTGCCGCCTCATGTGCCTGACACATCAGGCAAAGCACACCTCTAACGCTGTCCAGTACTGCCTAGTATGTCCCCTTTGGAATGTTGATGATCCAGCACAGCAAATAATGTGACAGCTGATTTAAAACTTCCTCAATACCTTATCCGCTATGGTGTTCTTTGTCATCTCAGTCTCTCAATCTGTTTCCAGACCCCCCACAAACCCTCCTTCAATTAGAAGACTTGACAACAATGCTTTTAATCTCGGGGCCGGATATTCCCTCAGTGCTGACCTCTCCTTCAGGAACAAGGTTGGCGCTAAATCCTGGAAGTTCTGTCCTCATCGGTAAGTTGATCTCTAAAGTTTGTTGGATAAAAGTATGAGAAATGGGCTGAACATGCAAAATTCAGATCCAGATGTTCATCCAGATCAGGGGCATATGAGGGGCTCCTTTGTGCTGGACACTGTATATACACGAAGTAAGAGCCACAGGAAGTGGATGTAACAAAAAGAGGGATGAGGGAGTCAGGATGAGGTTAAAGGTACTCTAGATTGTGCTTCGGTCTCCTTTTCCTCTCCACATAACTACTGGTCTCTACTTTTCAGTCATCCATTCCTGTTGTCCTTTCTGCAGGGTTTCTCCCAGAGCTTTGTCCATTTCTCTACATTTACTTTGCTCTTGCAAGCTGTTTGTTTCATTGTGGTATTTGTTTTAATCTTCTGTGTGCTCCAAGCTTTACAAGCAAATAATTCTGAATGAAATGATCTTCTTCTTCCATTATTTCATTCTTCTCCATCTTCTAGTTAGTTTCTGTTTTGTCTTTCTTTCCTCTGCACTCCAACCCTTACCGTATATTGTAGAGTGTTTTCAGGCCTATGGACACAGTCTGTTTGCAAAAAGATTCTCATTCTTTTCTTGTTATTTCTAAGCTCCCTTTCTTCCAATATCTTGGAGGTCATATTTAATATGAGGCTCAGTTAAACAACCAGCTTCTCAGGCAGCCTTATCATGACTCTCACTGAAATCATCGAGTAGTTCAGTACTGATTTTTAACCTGGCAGAAGCAGGATTGTAAATCTTTAGCAGAGGATCTGTACCTTGTCTCAGTGCTGATAAGAATGATTGTATTCCTTTCCACAGGCCTCCTACCAGCTCTTTGCTTACATTCAATAGCAAATATTTCTATAAGGGGAATTTTTATTTACATTTTTATTTTTGTTTGGGATTTATTTTTCCCTCAGTGCTGACATCTCTGTCCATCTGTAATTGTTTCTTAGCAAGCTGCTCTGGATTGCATTTGTGCTTCCACCAAACCTGCAATTAAGGAGCTCTTTTGGGGGGGAAATATCTGAAGGTATTTGATAGCATTCAATAAATCATTTCAGGTGTGGTTTTATTGCATTCGCAGTCCTAGGACTTGGTCACTTCTGTTTCATCCATTTCCTCTCAGGTTTTCCAAGCAAAATCTTTAGAAGTTTTTTTGTTGAGATCTGAAAGTGATAATGCACCAGTCATAAAATGTGTTTTGCATCTGTCTGTACATAATAACCTCTACTTTAGTCTCATGGGGCCATATCATCCCCTAGCCTGCTGCTCCTGCTTAGGGTACAGGAAACTCCAGGAGTTCCCAATATCAAGCCAAATTTATTCTTGATGTACTTCTATTTATTCTGTGGAGATACACATTGCTGAAGTTGACCTGATATTATAAAAACATAAGAAAGTTCTTGATAGATATTCTAATAAGAGATGGGCTGGGACTGAAGTATCCAGTCTGCTAGAATTCATACAGATACAACCAAACTGTCCATGTGTAAGTGGGTGACACAACATGGCATAGCCAAAACATGTGTGCAAAGCATTCGATACACGTGCAAATTATCCAATTATTGTCTGCAGTTAGCCACGTATTGTCCTACCTGCATTCAGCTACAGATAGACCACTTACTTCTGCAAAAACAATTGGCCCACACCTCAGCCATTCTTTTAACTGACACTAGATTAATTTTTAGGATTTTGTCAGCATGGACTAGGATAAAAGACTCCCTTCCCTTTTGCTCCCAAATTCTGTTTCTCTGCAACTATCTAATAGACATTCTATCTCCATAACCCCTCTCTACAGCTACCCCATCTGGCTGTCCCCTCTAGTCCTTCCTATTCTGTAATCCAGAAGGTCCATTTTAATGCCTCCTAAGCATTGAGCCATCTTCTACACAGAGATCTCACATGCTCTGGATGGTGATATTCTAATTTAATTCTAAAAGACTTGATGCTGGGAGGGTGTGGTGAATGAAGAGGATGCTGTTGGGAATTGCAAGGAAACAGGAACCTGGGAGTCAACTGATTGGGAGACAGGATGTAAGTGGAGAATTCTCTCAGGGAAAAGTTGGGTATCATGGAAGCGAAGGATTCAGTGAGGAGAAGGAGTTAAGAGACAAGAGAAAGAAGAGAACTTTGAAACCCTTGGGTAAATTCTGATAAGTATCCAGACTTCTCAGGATTTACATGAAATGAGAATCTGAATTGGTGAGGTTTGCCTGCTACCTCATTAAACACAGCTTCCTTAACAGGAAGAGGAAAATATGTGAAGCATGAGAAGATGAGAAGGCTAAATTTGCACATTGAGAAGAAGAATGTACTACTTAATTGAATGAGAATTAAAAGCTGAAGGACAAGGCTTGCAGCCCGTCATTTATGCTGCATACGTTCTTCTAGTGTGTCTGCCCCAATATATTTTCAATGACTACATGGATCCATTTGCCATTCCATTTGCCATCCCATCTCAACCCCTGTGGACCTCCCTTGTGGTGAAGCTCTGAGTCTTGGGGCCACAATGTGGGTGCCAAGTTTTACAGGCTGCTTTTCACCAGGTGAAAGAGATCCTTCAGTAGCACACTTCCCAACTGTGTCATTTTGGCTGCAGGGGCAGAGAGGGAGTTCTTTTGGGGCTTCATCCTTTTCCCATTGAAGTCAGTGGCAAAACTCCCATTGACTTCAAAGGTGGAGGAGCAGGCCCTTAAACAATGTCCTTTTTAGAGGTCACAGAAGCAAACCACCTTTAGAGGTGAAGGGACAGTAGTCTCCATAGCCGTGCCCACCAGCTGTCTAGTTAGCACACCATAGTTATCTTTCTCAGGTAGTGACCAGAGGGTACCATTGCTCCTTATCAAATCATCAGTAAGATGCATCCAGCTATGCATCCATTCTCCCTGCAACCCTTTTATGATGCCCCTATGGCAGGCCCTGCTCAGCTATCTACCAAACTCAGCTCCTACTATTAAGGACAAGATTTTCTCATAGTAGAACCTGCAGCACCTCTCAGTTTGGGAACTTACCCAATTTTTATATGAACTGAAACTGGCAATGAGTGATGAGCCATATATTACGTATGCCAATAATTTCTGGTTTACTTAACTTGTGGCATGTGCAAAATAAGATTTCATGTCACAGGTCCAGTTCTTTGCTTTATATTTCCATAAGTGCTTTAAAGTGACACAAACTTAGCATTTCATGGAAAACCAATAGAAAATTAACATTTATTTTTATATCTGGGAAACAGTAGTAAATTTCTGCAATTCCACTTATTTCCTTTGAAAGTTTTCAGATTAGTCCCTATTCTACAAGATTTTCTGTGAGAAATACAAAAATATTTTATTTTGGACACAGTTCTTCAAAAATTGACCACAAGATTACTATGAGGGAGATAAGCAAGCAAAAAGAGAAGCTGTTACTGTTAACTCTCACATGCTGGGATTTTATAACCATATTTGTGGCCACTTGGCACTTTTCTAAACCACTATCAAAATGCAGAATTATTTTTCTGGATTGAAAAGACAATTTAAGATTAATAATAATACACTTCAACTAGAATTCCTTTACCTACAGTCCCAATAAAAACTCATGCAAATTAAAATAATTTTAATAACTAAGGGCCTCATGCCAGATACATTTGCTATCAAACATTGATTTGCTATCAAACATCAACGAGTAGTCACTTTTACTTCACTGGGACCTATACGTGGTAATAAGCACTATACGTGGAGTTTTCAAATGTGCCTATGTGGGAAGTGTAGACACTACAGTGATGAGAGGTGTTCTCCTGTCACTGTAGGTATTCCACATCCCTAAGAGGCAGTAGCTAGGTCATCAGAAGAATTCTTCCATCAACCTAACGCTGTCTACACCAGAGGTTAGGTTGGCTTAGCTACGTCACTCAGGGGTGTGGGTCAACTTTACTCTTTTAGTGTAAACCTGGCCTTACTACAGTGACAAGAAGGTTCTCCTGTCTCTGTAGTTAATCCACCTCCCCAAGTGACAGTAGCTAGGTTGACAGAAGAATTTTTCTATTGACCTAGCATTGTCTATGCCAGTGGTTGGCTGGCTTAACTATGCTGCTCAGAGATGTGAATTTTTCTGCACTGGAAACTTACAAGGACAGAGCTCTGTCTCTCAGGGGTGTGAAAAATCCATACCCCCGAGAGATCTAGGTATGCCAAGCGAACCTCCAGTGCAGACAGCACTAGATCGATGGAAGAATTCTTTCAACAACCTAGCTACCATCTCTTGGGGAGGTGGTTTACCTACACTGATGAGAGAACCCCTCCTGTCAGTATAGCAAATGTCTATACTGAAGTGCTATAGCTGCAGTAACCATTTAAGTGTACTTAGGGTATGCCTACACTACAATAAAAAAACACTGGAATTTTTAAAACAGCCCCATGGAACCATTTGTAATGGTGTTGGGTTTTGTAAATATTAGGTCTGTCGATTAATCGCAGTTAACTCAACGATAAACCCCAAAAAATTAATCACAGTTTTAATCTCACTGTTAAACAATAGAATAGCAATTGAAATTTATTAAATATGTTGCATGTTTTTCCACATTTTCATATATATATTATATTCCATATTGTAATTGAAATCAAAGTGTATACTATTTTTATTACAAATATTTGCACTGTAAAAATGATAAACAAAATAAATTGTATTTTTCAATTCACCTCGTACAAGTACTGAAGTGCTATCTTTTTCGTGAAAGAGCAACTTACAAATGTAGACTTTTTTTTTGTTACATAACTGCACTCAAAAACAAAACAATGTAAAACTTCAGCGCCTACAAGTCCAGTCAGTTCTACTTCTTGCTCAGCCAATTGCTAAGACAAACAAGTTTGTTTACATTTAAAGGAGATAATGCTGCCCTCTTCTTATTTACAATGTCAACAGAAAGTGAGAACAGGAATTTGCATGGCACTTTTGTAGCTGGCATTGTAAGGTATTTACATGCCAGATATGCTAAACATTCATGTGCCCCTTCATGCTTCGGCCATCATTCCAGAAGACATGC